CAGCTGCACACATTACTGCGGGAGGAGCCTGCAGCTGAGGCTAGGTGGCTCTCCGGCCGCTCAGCCAGAAGCCTTCCCACAGGGCATCAGGAGAGCGAGGGATGGGCGGGGCCGGGAAGTCCTGGCCCACACACTAGGCCCAGGTGTCCTGCGGCCCAGGTGAGGGTGTGGTCACCTGCAGCTCCTCCTGCACCCCCTGAGCTTGGTGGTTGTTCAGCTGCAGCACGTGGGACTTGAACCCACTCCGGCCCTGGGAGCTGAGGGTCACGTTGAGCCGCCCTTCCTCGGCAGTGTGGGAGGCGATCCAGTACGCAGACAGCGCGTCCAGGGCCATCACCGTGTCCTGGGGAGGTTGGACCGGGACTCAGGCGCTTGGTTCCAGGGCCGCCCACCCCAGAGCCCCAAGGAGCCCCTACCTGGGTGCTGCGGAATCCCCCTTGGAAGCTGCCCTGGTGGGTGAGCCAGGCTGCGACCTGGTCCGCCATCTCTGCCCGGCCCTCCCGGAGCAGCAGGTGCAGCAGGCCGTAGGCTGTGGTTTCAATCCACAGGGCCGGGGCCTGGGGCACGGGGTCTGCCGGGCTGCGAGGAGCCGGCGTGGGCGACACGACGTTGCTCTGAGAGCCGATGACCGAGCCCCAGTACAGCTTATCTGGGAGGGAGGGCGACCAGCCGTGAGCGGGAGGCCGGCCGCCGGCCCTGCTCCCACCAGCTCTCCTGCCGGCCCCACCCGGCTCAGGTGCCGTCATCCCCTCTGGGCTGTGTCTCGGCTCCTCCCTGTGGGCACACGCAGAGGCCCGAGGCCCCTGACTCACCGCCGGTCTCCTGGGCCATGGCCATGAGGTTGTTGTGGGCCACGTCCCGCAGGTCCTCAGGGGCCCTGCTCAGCGTCAGTGCGTAGGCCGTGATGGCGGCTGCGTGGGCACCCAGGAGCCCAGCACTTGCTTTCGCCCCCAAAAATGAGTTTGCATTCGAGATGGAAGTTTCCTAGAAGAACGAGGGAGGAAGGTCTGTGGGCGGACACCTGGGTCCTGAGGAGCAGCAGGGAGAGCCGCCGGCGCAGGGCAGGCGCGGGCGCCCTTACCACTCTCTGCTTCAGCTGCTCTGCTCTCCTGTCCTGGAAGACGGCCAGCCCGTGATGAAGGGCGATGACCACGAAGGCCGTCAGGGCCACCGTCTCGTCATTGCCTACCAAGCCCCCCTGGTCAGTGCAGGGAGAGAAGCCGTCAGCCAGGAGGGGAGGGGCCAGGAGAGAGCCCACCGGCACCCCTGGGCCCCGCCTCCGGCCGCACCTGCATGCCCCTGTGGATAACGGGGCAGGGGTCCCGGAAGGAACCGTCGGCCTGCTGCTGGGACAGCAGCCACTTGGCCGTGTCCTGCAGCTTTTCCGGTGAATCGTCCACCTGCTCCTGGGCCAAACTCAGTACCTTCAACACAAAGGCTGTGAGCCTAGAGGAGGGAAGTGACAGCTGGGGATGGGGAACACAGGCCACTCCCCCAACACCTGGTTAGTCACCCT